CAAACGCTGCTGTTGGTATAGGCCTTGTCACTGGCCTCCTCGAATCAGACCAACAAATCAGATAGTCTAAACGTACCTTTAGCTCCACGCCGTGCAAACTAAAAATTGCTTAAATGTCACTAAGAGCAACCATATCAATGAGTAAATAAGGCACATTTACCAACCTCTACCATAACGCTACTACCGGGGGTTGCTATTCAGGTGAGGGAAATAGCAATCCGCACCTTGGGAAGAAGTGAGTTCATAAACTTAGCAACCCGGTAGCAACGCATCAGACGGTTGCTATTTTGAATAAACGTCAAAAGTTTGTTTTGCCGGTGTGGAAAACGGTAACTTAAATTATGACTCTAATAGCAACGACCGGTGTGGAGAGGAGTGATTAAGCCTAAATGGACTGGTACGGTTGCTCTTAGCAAATGGAATGAAGAAAAGCGAAGCGGAACACAGAATCGAAACAAAACAGCAAATAAGGCTACCAGAAACTCGATTTTCTGATGATCGCAGGGTTACTAAAAGTTTAAATTAAAAATAGTAGAAATTGATTCCCATGATGTCACTGGTAATTTCTTAAACAAATTGCTTTTTGACGTAGGACTACGTCTTTGATTTCTATATGGGGGTACACATTGTGAAAACCGAAAATGGAACATGTAACAAATTAAGAAAGATTTTGAACGTTAATAACTCAGCTGCCCCTGGTCCAATTTCAATAATTTTATCTCCAATCGATCAGAAATATGGCTACGCATCGATACAAATGCTTCCGAATGTTGATTTTCAACAATAAACTATTGACAAACTGGTAAATGTCCAGCATTGTCCAAAAGCGTCGAATTAACTAACAAATCCACTAATTACCTACATGCATATGCTGCTTCCCAAGCACAGTCGTCAGAGAGTAGTAAGTAGACGAAACAAGTCGAAGTGGCATTCGCCTCCGATCCTCAGGCGCGTGCAAATAGGGAGGATGGAATTGCGTAATATTTTGCACACTCATCGCCGTATTCAGAACCAAATTCAAATTCTTCAAGATAACCACCATCCGTCGTCTGGCTCGCCGTGGCGGTGTCTGACGTATCTCGGGTCTGATTTACGAGGTGTGCTGAAGGTGTTCCTGAAAAATGAGATTCGTGATGCTGTCACCTACACTAAACACGCCAAGCGTAAGCGGCCATAGATGTCATCTACGTTTTGAAGTGACAGAGACGCACTCTGTTTGGTTTCGGAGGTTAAATCATCACCAGCTTTGGCAACAAAACGACTCTTTTCAGGCCCACCAAGCTTATTACAGTAAAGAGTAGCAATAGAATTCATCTGCCTGTTTGTCCATATTCAGAACCAACGATCACACAAAATGCTCATGTAATCAAACTGGAAGCAGGGGTACAAATTATTTTGATCAACCTTGATCAACTTTGAATCACCACGGCCGGATATTTTGATGGAAGAAGCAACAATCTAGCATCTAATTCGACGAAGACGGCAGGAAACATTTGTGAAGCCGAGTTATTTACGAAAGAGAGTCTCTATGTAGATAATCGATCAATTTAGATAGGACCTATTGAAAAGTGACGCGAGATTTGTCTTCTGTACTGAGCTCCAATGCTACCGACGCCAAAGAGGCAGCTCCCACACCTGGACCCTACTAATCGACCCATCAACTCAACCGGGGACCAACGGCTTTACTTCCCGAAGGAAGGCGTGATCAGAGATGTTATGCCGGTGGCGCCGACTGAGATTGGACCCAGGCCTGCTGGGATGAGAGGTAATCACGCTAACCACCGGCCCCGTAACGTGGGTAGATCACCTTTTCGTGGTACGTTACGGGATGTAAGATCTACCACCGATTCCTAGTCCTGACTACTTCAAACTAGGGGAACAGGATTTTTCAGTAATCCAAGGAACACATCTTAGTCCTTGTTACTTTTTATGCCTTGTTGATAGGGACAAGACTCGGCTTTGTCTACCGAGGATGATCTTGAAACAAGGCAAAAAAATGAGTTAGTTGTCTTCATCTATGTGATTCCTAATCTTCTCTTCGTTGTTCCCTAGTTTGAAGTGGTTAAGACTAGGGTTCTGGTGCATGGTCATTATCGGTGTCATACCTTAATTTTGTTGCTAAGGAATTCAATTTTGACTGACAAAGGGACGCGCCTTTGGAGGGTGTTTCAACACTCCGAAGGGTATAAATAGCGGGACCTTTCAATTAGAGTCGGATCCTTGCGATAAATGCAAGAGTGGCAACTGTAAAAAAATCGAATACTTCATCATTTCTCAATAGTGATGGAGTAATACGACATGCACTAAACTAAGGACACGGGATATACTACAATAGATCAATTTACTGGTCGCAGTAGTGTTAGGTCCCGAACAGAGGAAAAAAAAAAACCACCGGCGCCGATATCTTTCAAGGTGATATCACGGCGAATGAGAACGTGATATTTGAGTTTAGTTATCTCAGTAATAAGAAATAAAGCGCAGGAACTCAGCGATGAGTAAATTTGCCTCATGTTTTCCCAGGTTTTTCCAGGATTTTCCAGGGAAAAATTCCCCAATTTGAGAAGTAAAGATTGGATTCACTCAGTTTATTGGTACTACTCCGAGACTGAATAAAATTTTCGTCAATCTCCTCATTTTCTGGCAGATTTGTTAGATTTTCCACAGGAAACCATGATACAAATTTACTCATCGCTGAGTTCCTGCACTTTTGGCGATTATGAGTGAACTAAACTCAAATTTGGGTCGTTCTCATTCGCCGTGTACGCAAAAGGAAAAGAGCCAGTGTCGCTGCTTGATAGCAAACTACTCATAATGGGAGGAGTCTTGGTAGCTTTTATACCACTTGGTTGCACATCATTCTGCTTTAACCTGAAAAGATATAAAAGAGCGCTGCTGTATGGCATTAGCTCATTTTCGCTTCGGAACAGCAATAGCAGCAGTAGGAAGGTGGTGGCTAGTCCATACCTTCACACCTAACAAGCAACAATTGACTGTGACTGGTCGTGGCAAAGGAGGAAAAGGTCTGGTAAAGGAGGCGCCAAGCGTCATCGCAAAGTTCTTCGAGATAACCGCCATCGGTCGTCTGGCTCGCCGTGGTCGTGTAAAACGTATCTCTGGTCTGATCTACGAGGTGTGCTGAAGGTGTTCCTGGAAAATGAGGTCCGTGATGCTGTCACCTACACTAAACACGCCAAGCGTAAGTAGCCATGGATGTCCTCTTCAATAAAACGGCCCTATTCAGGGCCATCAAGCTTACATCAGTAAAGAGTTGGAACAGAATTTATCTGTGCTTTTTGTCCATATTCAGAACCACAAGCCCCCAACGACCACACAAAATGCTCTCCAGAGTTGTAATCTTGTAACCAAACTTGATAGCAGGGATGCAAGTGATTTTGATTGATTCTCTTAATCAACTTTCTCTTTGAAAAAGATTACTACAAATTTGGTACGCCTACAATTCAAAAACGGAAAGAGTTGAGATAATATATAATTGATCAATTAAAAGAACTAAATGCTCTTCACATTTATTGCGTCCACTAGCGGTCCTACGTCAAGCTTCCGTTCGTGCCCCTAGGCACAGACCCTTCTACTTTTTTAATTTAAATTAAATCATTTTTTCAACACAATCCCCCCTCCCTAAATACAAATCCTGGCTGCACCACTGACTTCCATGATGAAATTTCCTGCATGAAACCTAAAAATATTTCATCTGCATCACAATTAAAGCTGAAAATTGCATTAGTTCCTAAGTAACATTGATCGATTCTCTTTGTCGACTTTCTCTTTCGTTAATAACTTGAGCACATTACTGTTTCTTGTTGTGTTTGTCGTATTAGATGCTAGATAAAAGCTTCCTTTATCGATCTGTGTGCTAAAAATACCTGATAATGTATTTACATGGCCGTGGGGATACAAAGAGAAAGTCGACAAAGCGAATCTGTCAATGTTACTTAGGACCTAATGCATTGCTCAGCTTGAATTTACCAAATCCTTATTATTCTCCGAGCTTACCAGGCTTTCAAGCGTACGTACAAAGAAGATCCATGTCGACTTTCTCTTTCGTTAATAACTTGAATACATAAGCGTGTCTTGTTGTGTTTGTCATATTAGACGCTAGATAAAAGCTTCCTTTATCGATCTGTGTGCTAAAAATACCTGGGAATTTCTTTACATGACCGTAGGGATACAAAGAGAAAGTCGACGAAGAGAATCTCTCAATGTTACAAAGGACCTAATGCAATGTTCAGCTTAAAATGTTCATTATTGAACGCTAAGTTAAGTAGTCATTTAGGGGAAATGGATGTAATGTCGACTTAAATGCCTCTAATGTGGGCCCATAAATAAATTATGCAATCGACTAAATTTTCAATAGCGACCAAAAATATCCATTAGTACCGTCCCAATGACACGTTCATCTAGATAAAATTGATAAATAGCAGATTGTTAGCGATGGGCCCAATATTAGATCCATAGGCCAACATTAGAGCCCTTTTCCCCTATGTCGTCCAGATATCGCATTCTATAATTTTTATTTTTTATCTTTGAGTCGGTAGAATTTCATTTGCTATGTCTGTTGTTCCAGTAATTGAGTAGCTGGAGCGGTTCAGGCAAACATGATGAGCAGGAGACGGGTGGGCAGAACGTTTACGAATTAAATTAGCCGAGCATTACGTGTACCTTGTCGTACTATAATTACTAATGCGCCCGATGTACTTTTGTGGGTTCAAATCCCACCGGTTCCGTCCATTTTTCGCATTTTTTTTTTTATCATACACACGTGCTCATCATGTGTGCTGTGCTTCTCAGTACATATCATCTTTCAAAAATCACTAAAATAGCTTGACTTACTAGTCGACTAACCGCAGCAAGAAACGTTCATTAAGTAGACAATGTTTAACACACTTGAACAAAGTTTCAACTAAGAAAAACATAATATCAACAATTTTTGTACCTGTATGAGTCAAAATTCAAACAACGCAAACTACTTCTCCAATACTCACCCTCTTCCAGACGAACGGGCTGAAGTAGAATTTCCAACTTATCCAAACAACCGCGAAAAACACAAACAGATAACCGACGATGCTCGCCGGTCTTTGCCACTCGAAGAAGTCATCCTGGAGCAAACTGAGCAGCACTCGATCTAGTGTGCTGTTTCTCGACGACGATAGCAGCCACTGATGTTTCCATGACATATCTAGGGCCGCCGGCCTACTGCCATGACCAAAACATAGTTCATCACTTTCCATCGCTTCCAACACGGCTTAATCACTGATAAAGTTTCGAGCTCCGCTCCACGAAAAGCTCAAGTTCTTTCTGATTTTCCTTATCCGGGCAACTACTGTTCCCGCCGACTGTACTGGCCTGACTGATTGACCGTCTTCCAGGGTCCCAGGTGCTGCTGCTGTCCCAATCTGTAGAGAAACAAATGGAATAATGTAATGTACGAAAACGGCACACTCGTTCTTTGATCAGAAAACAATCTTCCTCTGTCCCTCTCACTCTATTTCGCTCAATCGCCACAGCGCACTAAACGGCTTGCGGCTAAAGGTGATGAATTAATTTTGGGAAGGTAGGTATGTACAACTGAACCGATTGGAGATCAATCACACACAGAAGAAGGAAGCGGCTCGGGTGCTGGGATCCGCCAATCTTGCGATCATACAAATTCAAACCTAATTTGAATAGAGCTGAATCCATTACACTCTCCACTCGCTGGACGCGAGGACTTGCCTGGTCCACACATGGCGGAATGTGAAGAAGGGGTTGCGGACAGGGATGGACGATGATGGGTCACTCCCCAATCCCAATCAGTATTCTCAATATCAAATCGAAGATTCCTGTGTGTCCGTACCTTGAAATTGAAATTTTTCCTCCGAACGGAATACGTTATCATCCGAGGTGACCTTTTCCTGGTGCGACGACGAGCGATTCTGCGATTTGATCTGAGCTATCCGCGCGCGCTCCGAACTCGAGACAGGTTCGATTGGTACTGAGGGCAGCGGAACAAGATTGACGATATCAGGAGGACTTGCTTAGTCATAATCAGTTTTCATTAGATGGGATTTTATGTTTCGGTCTATAGGTGGTTTGGTTTGCGACGTCAGTGATAAGGAAGGTGGGAGAATTGATAAAAAATTATCATTGAAGTGAGTAAGGTGATCGGAACTATGTCTAGTCGCGTGCAATTATACCTGCTGCCAATGGTAGTTGGTGGATTCACACATCTGTCGGTGATGGGGGTATTTCGACTATTAGTCATTCTGGGTGGTCAATTGTGAGTGACGCAAACATCAATCAAATGGAACCTAGAAAATGGTGGCATGCCATGACAAATTTGCATAGAACAGTAGCGCCATAAGCAAGCTGTGGTAGATTCTGCCAGCCGTCTTCAGTGATCCATTGACATTTAAAATTTTCACTTAAAATTGCTACTATGCCTTAAACATTTTACTGAAATTTCGCAAACTTAAATCGTTCAGCCAAATGTAAACAAACAAAAAAAACTTTCCAAACTAATCCTGAACACAGCAAATCTGTATCTTCTATCTGTTCGGTTACATCACTTTATCGCTTAAAGCTCGTGGTCATGATTGTGAATTGCCAAACGTAAAATTCCCAACCACCGTCATAATCGTTCATCAAAATTTATCGCATTTTTGTTCTTCGGCGATAACCTGCGATAACGATCGAAGTTTGGCGTGTATTAAACAACGTTCGGCATTCGAAGGAAGTTGAACAGAAGAACATGGCCTACTGTTTCATTCGCAAATCGGAACAGCATCATTTTCATCCGTTTGTTCCCGGGGAAATGGAGACGAAAGTCACTTTTCCGCTGCGAATTTCATCATCATGTGCCGAGGGGTCAAAACCGATGAACTGGTGGGGAGGATGCAAAGCTGCCGACGACGGCTGTCATGAGAATTTTTCGCGCGAGGACATCTGCACTCGGCGCGGCAGCGATGTTATTTGGTCGATGCATTTGCGCGAGCGGTGTTTGTAGAGCGGGTTGCCGGCTTCGCAGGCGATAACCGGTGGGCAATGCGATGTTGTTGTTGTTATAGTTGTAGGTAGAGATGTCCGATTTTGTTTTTAAATAATTGATGTTTTATTAAAAAAAAATATTGATTTGGACTGTTAATGTGAATGAATCGATTAATAGATTTAATGGATTTTCAATTTGATTGATAAAATAAAGAAATATTGTCATTAAAATTATTGTATCATATACGGCTTTAGGACATTACCGCGAATGGCATTATCCCGAATGACTGTCCTTTAGCTCAGTCGGTAAAGGCACAGCTGTACAGTAGGTGGTACAAGTTTTAGACCATTGTATGAGAGTAGTGCCACCTCCGTCGGTTACCATATAGACCGAAATTGGGGGTTGATCTCGGCTTCCTAAACGGAGGTGTTACCTTCTCCAACAATCGAGAACTTTCTGGCCACGTCCATGCAATTACTGAGGATGAGAAAGGATTGTTAGTTGAAAAATTACTTATCTAAAAATTATTGAAAAAAAAAGAGTTGTCTGCAGCTTAGACCTGGGATCATTTTGACCCCAAATTCAAATTGCTGTATCTCAGCGATGGATTTTTGAAATTGCAAATGGTTTGCTAAACAAATTTATAGCACTTTAAGTTACAATTATTCTAAAATCTTGATTATCCTACCTAACGGTAACAATTGTTTTTGCTCGTAAAAAATTAAATAGTTTCATCTCATATTCAGGCTACCGGAACATACTTATCAAAAAGAGTGAACTCTACTCAGTATTGAGCCATATAATACACATTTTTTGAACAAATTGTTCAACAAATGCAATTATTGAATCGGTACTTGTATACGTTAATTTCTAAAAACTGCAGCTCACCCACGCATAAAACACGAAAAAATCTGGACACAATAAAAACGCTGCCATTAAGGCATTTTTTTGAGAATTTTTTTTTTCAAAATTTTACTGAATTAAGCTAAGAGTGTATAGAATCATAGTAGGCATTGGTTGTCAGGGTAAGTTCATTCGAACACATCATTGCTTCACCGGAGCAATCACGTCGTGATTCGATCATGCACGCTCGAAATGAAAATCCCGGTCTATCCGCTCCTGGCAGTTTTCGATCAAATTTCTGGGCAAGAATTTAATACCGCGGTTGACCGGAAGAGTGCCCCGGAAGAATGTAAAATCAAAAAGAAGTCTTACTTCCCCAAAAAGTTCCTTGTCTGGCAAGCAATCTGCAGCTGTGTTTTTAAGGTGGTATTATACTTAGAAAAACTAACTTTTTTTTTGTAATTACAAGATAATATGTGTATGTCTTGGGCAAAGTTGCTCAAAACTCACCAACTGCAAATCTCAACAAACTGTGGTTAGATTGAGTTTCATGATTGTTGCTTTACACCCGAACGCAACCGAAACTGTCAAAACGGCTGGCAGCAGTCACTTCGTGTGCCGCCATCGGTAAAGAGTAAAAAGAGGTAGCAAACTATACTTTCTCTTTCTAAGGCTGTGAACCATTTGCTGAGTTAAATTTAACTCGTGGTTAAAAGTGACATTTCGAAAGTTATTTTCTATGTTCGAAAATCCCCGTGCTGTTCATCAACCGGTTTTCGAGCCACAGTTGTCAAAATTTAACTTCTTGTCTGTCAGAAGTAACCACGCTCGGATAGCAGGGTTAATCGATAACTTTCCATGTGTCAAATTTTAACCAAAAGTTAAAATAATTCGCCAAATGGTTCAGAGCCTAAGGCTGTGAACCATTTGCCGAGTTAAATTTAACTCGTGGTTAAAAGTGACATTTCGAAAGTTATTTTCTATGTTCGAAAATCCCCGTGCTATCGATCGACCGGTTTTCGAGCCACGGTTGTCAAAATTTAACTTCTTGTCTGTCAGAAATAACCATGCTCGGATAGCAGGGTTAATCGATAACTTTTCATCTGTCAAATTTTAACCAAAAGTTAAAATAATCCACCAAATGGTTCAGAGCCTAAGAAAACGATGTGCAATAGAATCATTTTTGTGTCGACTCAACTCTCAGCTTGATTTTTGCACGTTGTGAATAGTCTCGCAATATCAAAGGAGCTTGTAAAATCAATATCAAGCATGATATTTTGTTCCAATATCACGCGTGATATTGCGAGCGCATAAGAGAGGAAAAATATCAATTGATTTCTGATTTTGACAGTGTTGGCTTCTTGGTTGGTTCTACAAAATTTTAAATATCATCAAAATACAGCTTTTCTCAAGACTCTTCTTTGGCTTTATTACGTCTCTACTGGGACTTGATGCTGCCGTCAAACTTAGGATTCGAGCATAGATTACGTAACGTTACGGAGAGGGAGAGGAGACGAGCTTGTGTTACTTATTGTTACATAGGTGGGAGGGCGTAATGAGAAATGTTACGCAACAGATTGACCAAACTGAGAAAAAAAAATCAGAAATAAAAAAATACTGCTTCATAAATCTACGCGCTTTTATCTATAGGGAAGGTCCATTAATTATGTCACGCAAAATTGGCCCGTTTTCAAACCCCACATTTTTTGTATGGCTGGTCACAGTTTACAACCCCCCCTCCCCCTAAAAGTGTGACATAATTAATGGATGATCCCATATCAGAATAACTTTACTTTTCAAACCGTTAATTGAACTTTTAAATTCAATAATGAAAAATTAAAGGGGATGAGTGTGTTAGCGTTACGTAATTTAGGAGAGGGGGAGTCTTGTCAAGTGTTACTTATTGTTACATAAGGGGGAGGGGGTCAAAAATACAGATTTTAAACGTAACGTATTATGTGTAGCACTCCTATTGTCTGCCGATCTGATCTGTTTCAACGCAAGAATCTTGGAATCTTTAAAGTTTTACTACGTTCAAGAAACATGAAAATTGAGCTAAAGCTTAAAATCTTGAAGTTTATTCCATCTCACAGAATCTTTATAACTTGCCTCAGTTCCGAAATCAGGATTTTGTTCAGTCCTGGAGGCTTGAAATTTATCTCAAGTCTTAATATTATAATACGTCCAGCATCTACACGTCATTAACATTCCAAAAATACCCACATTGTAGGGTATTTGATAGTTTCTCAACACTCGGAAGCCACCATGTTGGGTTTTTAAATGGAGGCAATCATCGATTTCTAGTTTCTAATCATATTTTTCGCTCGAAAATACTGTTTAAAAAAAACGGCAGTCACCATCTTGGATTTTAGAAAATTGGAAGCCACCATCTTGGATTCCGAATTGACGTTAATAATCGATTTTCGGTCCCTACAT